CAAGTTGAAACAAGTCCAAAACCCTTAACAAGTATAGATAAGCTCCTAATTCAAGATGAACTTTTTCTTTGGCTTTTGTTAATGTCATTAAAATAAAGACATTTAAATTGAATCACAGGCAGGTTATGGTTATTGTAACATTCATCACTCTCTTTATTTTAGTACTCCCAATATTTTTAGCTGAGGCATCCAGGGGTGGGGAACCTGCAGCCTTCTCATTTCAAGACTGTTCTTTTTAAGTACCAAAGGAGGCAGAAAAAGCTTCATCTTTCTCTGTTGCACCTCTTTTAATAAAAGGATTTATTCTGTAAAATTTGGATTTAGTCAAAAGGCCGCACCTAAGGACCATTCAGGCTGCAGATTCCGCATGGTAGAATGTGTTTCAATGTGAGACACACATCCATAGGGAGTGTACTTCCATTGAAATGTAGGAGGGAAAGATTTGTTTCTATTTAATTGTTAGTAAGAAAAAAATCAAACTTTACTAATGTTCAAATCCAAAGCAACAAGGGTCCCCTCACTCAGTCTACACAACCCAAGTCACAAGGTGTCTTTAGAATTTTGGGAGTGCTACATCCCATGGGTATTGACATGACACCTTCACTGGTTTGTTTACTTTGAACATGTTATGACAAACTGTCTTTTATTTGTGTACAGTTAAATGGATATGTGAATTATATTACCTAGTTTTAACCATTAACGCTCACAAAATGGAAAATCACTTTAAAAGTTTCTGCCAAAGAAACACAAACAGAAGGTAATGCCAGTGATGCAAATACAGGGTGGAAATAGGACTATTTTGCTGATCTCCTGCATCTAGTTGATCATGAGAACAAAAAGCTGGGGAATGAACAACAGGGATGAACACTTGCCCCCAACTCCTATGTTTCCTAGCAAGCAGCAAGTTTACTTATTTACTTAATTCAATTCCTGGCCTCTCCATCCCTTTGAATAGTGGCCCCTGCAAAAGATAAGTCTACCTGGAACCTATAAATGTGACCTCATTTGGGAAAATGGCTCTTTTCACATGTAATTAAGGTAAGGATCTAGGATGAGAACATCCTGGATTAGGGTGGGACCTAAATCCAATGATGAGTGTCCTTAGAAGAGAAGGGGAAACAAACACAGAGAGACAGAACATAATGACCAAGTGAAAATGGAGGCAGAAATTGAACTTATGCATCTACAAGCCAAGAAAGGCCAACAACTGCCTATAGCTATCAAAAGCTAGGAAAGAAACACAGAATAGATTCTCCCTCAGAGCCTCCAAAAGGAACAAACCATCTCTGCTGACACCTTGATTTTACACTTCTGGCTACAGAACTGTGAGAAAATAAATTTCCACTGTTTTAAGCCACCAAATTTATGGTAATTTGTTACATCAGCCTCACCTACTTATGAAATGACTTACCTTGCTGGGAAGAATATATTGTACATTTGCCTCAGCCTCAGTCTTCTTCCTCTTGAGATCTAATTAGGGACCACGACAAAGAAGTCACTTATTCGGCCTCCTCACTGGATTGGCACTTCCATAAGTGAGTATGCAAGTCTACAGTTTAGTGGTTCAGTTAATGACTGTCTCACTAAGCCACATCTTCCAAATAAACTTTTATCAGTAATAAAGTTGACATTTTGGCCCACATCTGCCACTCTTTCACTGCCCAAGTGGTTCAAAGACAAATTAGAAAAGGTGGTACTATTTATTAGAACCTCCTGAGAAACCCCCAAATTACATAATCTCTTGATTGTCACGCCACAATCTGAATCATCAAGACTTAAGATTAGTGGTTCCACAATTCAGAAAGTCTATAA